GCGGCGTAGACTCGGTCAAATTGAGTTTTGTAGATGGACTGGCGGTGTAGTACAGCAGGTGCCGCTCACAGCTCAGTCTCCTCACAAAGCACGCATATCACGGCTTTGTGTGGTGAGGCCTGCCCTCCGCTCGTCTTCTACTCCCAAGACCGGTGGTGGTACATAAGCTACCTGCCCCACCATCGAGGCCGAGCCGACTCGGAGGATAAGCAGCAACAGGGGTTCAACCCGCTCAGGTGGCTCAATAATGTAGAGCGTGCCGTTCTTCTCTCGGAAGTGAGGTCTATGGCGCCACTGGCGTGAATTAACCTTGAGCAGAGACAGTCTAGAATTTGTCAGGAAGCCCTGGACAAGCTACGGCATCGTTCTGATGGGACAGTGATACAGCGAGCAGCCCCCGTTACTGAAAAATCTGTATCTCAGACCGTTCCCGCGGAAATGTCAAGCCACCTAGCTTATCGCGGCGGCCTGATTGTAGTCGGCCGATCCTTCTTCCCCTCGCCAAAGGTTGGTTTGCCTGAAAAATGGTTGCAACTAGTGTCAGGACAAAAAATAGATAAAGATAAGCAGACGTACCCATAAACGAAATCGAAGCCGCGGTCAGCGAGACCTCATGGTATGCTGGCGCCGAAACCAGTGAAGACGGCTCGATGAGAGATTGATACGTGGGTTTATTTGTGCGAGCTGCAGGATAGCCATGCGCCTCGTTCAAGCTCAATGCTGTGGAACCAACGGGGTATCTGGCGGCGCGAAAGCACCAGGGAACCGGAGGCAAACGTTCGCATCAAGCAGAGTCTTGGAGGACACGTAAACCGAGACCATCTCACCTGATGTGACTCTGTAGCATTTCAGCGGGGTCCGTAGGCGGGTGTGACGGAGTGTGACTTGAAGAGTACTGTGCTCAAGACTGTGCACGGGTGTCCGACTCCGAGTCGGCGGGGCGCATCACTCGAACAGAACGATGTCCCCCGCCTTTCGGCCTTTCCATGCGTCAGCGCATTCGATCCGAGGTACATCAGCTTGAAAAGATCAAAACGCAAGGTTTCGGCAATGGCTCGTCCCTTGCGTTTTAGGTGTAATATTGATGACTATCAACGGAAGCGCCAGCGACCCAGAACTGGTAGGCATGACTCGAGGTGAGAGCTGGTTCCAAAATTGCTTCCATCGTGCGTGCGATCTGTATTTCGTGCGTTATAAAAGGTCAGCTAGCACCCACCCTTCTTCGTCATTCCATCCACAATGTCTGACAACGAGTCGATACACTCCTCCGCAGACGAAGCAATTCCCCTATCTCCCGGTCGAGAATGCTTTTCACCCAAGCATCCGCGTCTGCGGGCTCTAAACGCGATCATTACCAATAAAGGCACGCTCGCCGAAGCAGCTTCCAGTGGGATATTCTCTGTGCATCCAGACGATCTGATCCTTTATTACGGCGTGAATGGCCCCAACTCCAAGTGCGCACTCTGCCCCTCACCAACTGTCACGTACTATCGCTTATCCTATATTTTCACAGGCCAGATCGCATCGACTTCACGAGACGAATTAGTTCCTCTTTTGTGCAAAAAGAGGTCCAAAAATATATACGATATTTTTCACAAAAAGAGCTGAACACTTCTCTTGGGAAGAAGCAGTGCTATTTGCAGCACGAAAAGGTGTACTATTTGACTTTTTTTGAGTGTGGGAGGAGTTCAAATATTTCCAAGGAAAGTAGGGTATCTATTCTTGTGCCTATTTTCGGACAAAATAGTGATCGCCCGCTGTGATCGCCCGCTCATGGTATGACTGCATAGCATGAGCGGGCGATCACTATTTAAGCTGAAAATAGCTACCTCTTTTGCAAGAAAATATATACAAGATTAAATGGCCTATTTACATGGGGAATATTTGGACTATTTTTATGCTCAAAAAGCTGTAAAAATAGGATGCCTTTTCATGCTGCAAATAGCACCACTTTTCCCCAGAATAACTGCTCAGCTCTTTTTACAAAAAATACGTGCCGTATTTTTGGACCTCTTTTTACACAAAAGAGGAACTAATTCGTCTCGTGCTTCATGTCTCACACAGACGGCGAGATTCAACGCCTATTCCAAGCGTGCG